TCAAATGTCGAAGTAAGAAATAATATTCTGGTAATGACAGGGTCTGCACCAATTCATGAAAATGCAGGATATCCGGTTGTACCAAATATCAAAAAATACAAGATAGAGGAACAAGATTCACTACTCTAATTCAAATTAAAAAAACAGACGGAAAAATTACAAGTTCCAGAGACTTTTTAAGCTTAAAAGAGGCAACAGAAGCATATGTTTACGTATCTGTTGCGACAAGTTTTAATGGTTTTGACAAAAATCCGGCAACTGAAGGTCTGGATGATGTATCAATTGCCTTGCAAGACCTGAACAAATCATTTGCAAAATCATTCGATCAATTAAAAGAAAACCATACAAAAGATTATCAAAAATTCTACAATCGTGTCACTTTAGATTTAGGCAAAACAACCGCACCCGATTTACCAACAAATGAACGTTTACTAAGATACGCAGATGGAAAAGAAGATAAAAACCTCGAAATCCTCTATTTTAATTACGGACGTTATTTGTTGATAAGCAGTTCGAGAACTTTGGGCGTTCCGGCAAATTTACAAGGCATTTGGAATCCGCATTTAAACCCTCCCTGGAGTAGTAATTATACGATGAATATCAATCTCGAAGAGAATTACTGGCTGGCAGAAAACACCAATCTTTCAGAAATGCACTTGCCGCTTTTAAGCTTTATAAAAAATCTTTCAGTAACAGGAAAAGTTACGGCAAAGACTTTTTATGGCGTAACTCAAGGCTGGGCTGCTGCGCATAATTCAGATATTTGGGCAATGACCAATCCGGTGGGGCAATTTGGAAAAGAAGATCCAATGTGGGCGTGTTGGCCACTTGCCGGCGCGTGGTTAAGTACACACATTTGGGAACATTATATTTTTACACAAGACAAGTCATATTTAAAAAATGAAGGCTATCCGCTAATTAAAGGCTCTGCCGAATTTCTTTTAGGATGGATGATAGCCGATAAAAACGGAAATCTAATAACATCGCCATCCACTTCACCTGAAAATCAATACCTGACACCTGATGGTTTTGTTGGTGCAACAATGTATGGCGGCACGGCAGATTTGGCCATGATCAGAGAATGTTTTGACAAAACGATAAAAGCGTCAAAAGTTCTAAATATTGACACTGATTTTAGAGCAAAATTAGAAACGGCATTATCAAAATTATATCCATACCAAATTGGTAAAAAAGGAAACTTGCAGGAATGGTATTTTGATTGGGAAGATAAAGATCCTAAACACCGTCATCAATCGCAATTGTTCGGACTTTTCCCTGGCGATCATATTACGCCCGAGAAAACGCCTGATCTGGCAGCAGCATCAAAAAAGACTTTAGAAATAAAAGGAGATGAAACAACGGGTTGGTCAAAAGGCTGGAGAATCAATCTTTGGGCAAGACTTTGGGACGGAAACCGCGCTTATAAAATATTTCGCGAATTATTGCGTTACGTAGATCCTGACGGAAAGAAAACCGACAAACCAAGAAGAGGAGGAGGAACATACCCAAATTTATTCGATGCGCATCCGCCATTTCAAATCGACGGAAACTTTGGAGGAGCCGCAGCTGTTGCCGAAATGCTGGTTCAGTCAAACGAAAACGAAATCAGATTATTACCAGCTTTACCAGACGCTTGGGAAACCGGATCAGTAAAAGGAATTTGTGCCCGAGGAGGATTTGAAATCGAAATGAATTGGGAAAATAAAATTCTAAAAAAAGCTACAATTTCTTCAAAAACTGGAGGAAAAACAACTTTGATATCTGGTGATAAAAAACAAAATATCACATTGAAAAAAGGAGAAAAACTAGAAGTGAACTGGTAAAATAGTTCTAAACGCAATCTTTGTCAAACCCGACAGGTTAAAACCTGTCGGGTTTATTGTTTTTAAGCTCCATCGGAGCGAAGTATTTTATAATTATATTTCACCTCGATGGGTTCTATGGTGATGTGGTTATAAATTTCTATAAATATTTCGTCCCTCTGGGCAATGTCATTAAGTTAAGAGATTTTTGAATTCAGATTAACTATTTCTGTATCAATAACTCTATCAGAATTCGCAATCTTGTCATCTCGACGAAGGAGAGAGCACACAAGAAACTCGACAAAGATTGGCGAATATCTGAACGGAAATACTAGTGTGATCTCTCCTTCGTCGAGATGACAAACTTTGTGGTTAGTTCTCTCTCTCTCTCTCTCTCTCTCTCT